GTGCACTCCTAAAGCAGTGTGGCCCAATGGCCAGAGTCTCTCTAAACTCTCTTCCCCTCGTAGGATAGTACGGCCCAGCGGTCGGAGTTCATCTATCTCCTTGAGGTAAAAGAGGGGTCGGTGAACTATGTTGTCACCAAAATGGGTGGGGGGGTTTTAGAGACCCCAGGTAGGGGAGCCCGGGCCCACCCGCCTTTACTGGGCTCCAACCCAGGGCCCTGTCAGTGACGGCGTGATCCGCCACGGGTTAGCGGGGAATCCTACCGCAACACGCTGCCCTCAGAGTGGTGGGAGAAACCACTCCCTTCCCTTCCCTGGGTCACTTCCCACCAGTTCTCCAAACATAGCAGTGCCTGTGGCATCAGGGTCTCCAGGTTCTTCAGCACCCGGCGCTCCCTGGGGTTCCAACAGTTGCTGGCCTCCGGTCCCAGTCCCTGGCTCCTCAGCTCTCTCCGTCCGGTAAGGGTCGCAACTGCTCCTGGGCTGGAGCTAAGGCCCAAGTTTGGGTTCTGGGGGGTATGGGACAATCATAAAACCCTTGCGGGCCTTGCATGCCTTCAGCAGGTTTACATGGTATACTTGGGTGTCCCTTCGACGTCCAGACAGCCGGATCTCGTAATCAACGGGCCCCACCCACCGAACCACCTCAAACGGCCCTTGCCACTTGGCTAATAATTTAGACTCGGAGGAGGGCAGTAACAGAAGAACTCGGTCTCCCAGTTTGAAGTTCCTCATCTTCATCCGTCGATTGTACTGGATCTCCTGGTTGCGTTGTGCTTGTAACAGGTTCTCCCTGGCTCGGGTGCCCAGTTCCCAAAGCTGTTCCCTCCCCCAGGTCGAGGCCAATCCATTCGAAAGGAGTGCCAATCACTGGTAAAGGCACCAAGGGGGCCCTGGGTACCCCCTTCGGGCCGGCCTTCTGGCACTCTGGGCAAGAGGCACAGTAATCCCGGACCTCTTGGTTTATGCCTGGCCAGAAAAACCATTGGGCTATTCTTAGGAAGGTCTTTTCTCACACCAAATGACCCACCCAGGGGACTGCATGGGCTAGGCAGAGCAGCCCTCTTCGGAACCTTTGGGGGATCAACAATTGGTGCACCTCGGCTTGGGTCTCTGGTTCCTGGGCCACTTGATAAAGTAAGTCTTTGTGAATCTCAAAATGGGGGCCTTGGGGCCAATATTGCCAAGGATGGGCCTCTCCATCCTCAGCCACCAGCCCTGATTGAGCAGCTCTGCAGGCTTTTATACTTGACTCCCGGTTGCAGCATGCCCAGCAGAGCCTCAGGGGCATGGCTTCTTCTGCCAGCAGGGAAGGGTTTACTCTCTCAGTCCCAGTGTGGGGCCAGTCCACACCGTCATAGGGCCCCACTCAACAAATAATAAAAAGTGAATAGGGGGCCCTCTTGAGCTGCATGGGCCCTAAGCAATTGCTTAATCTGCTTATGCCTAGCACCAGCTCTGGCCCCAGATCACAATGTACCTGTTATGTGCACATTCCACTGAGGTCTCCAAAACAGCAGCAGGAAGACTTCATTGAACAGACTGGCTGCCACCCTACGGACTTAGAAGCATAGCAAAAATGTTTTTAAATTTTTAATGAGCACATGTGCTGCTAAACTGAGTTACAGTGACTCATCTAACATTTTGATGTAGATTTACCAATAGTTATTTTCTCTGGAGTTGACTTAGGTATAAAAATGGTATAAGGGAATGAGAATATTTATTTGATATCAAGATAGTTTAATATGTAGTGATTCACTGGGTTTAATTTAATTGGCATTGTGGATGCTAACTACATTTCTCAGTATTTCAGAGAATGGTCTACTGATTTCAATAATACAGGAAATATGATAGCATTGACGGAAGAATCCCATGCACTGCTACAGACTAGGGACCGAATGGCTAGGCAGCAGTTCTGCAGAAAAGGACCTAGGGGTTACAGTGGACGAGAAACTGGATATGAGTCAACAGTGTGCCCTTGTTGCCAAGAAGGCTAACGGCATTTTGGGCTGTATAAGTAGGGGCATTGCCAGCAGATCAAGGAACGTGATTTTCCCCTTTATTTGACATTGGTGAGGCCTCATCTGGAGTACTGTGTCCAGTTTTGGGCCCCACACTACAAGAAGGATGTGGAAAAATTGGAAAGAGTCCAGCGGAGGGCAACAAAAATGATTAGGGGGCTGGAGCACATGACTTATGAGGAGAGGCTGAGGGAACTGCGATCATTTAGTCTGCAGAAGAGAAGAATGAGGAGGGATTTGATAGCTGCTTTCAACTACCTGAAAGGGGGTTCCAAAGAGGATGGATCTAGACTGTTCTCAGTGGTACCAGATGACAGAACAAGGACTAATGGTCTCAAGTTGCAATGGGGGAGGTTTAGGTTGGATATTGGGAAAACTTTTTCACTAGGAGGGTGGTGAAGCACTGGAATGGGTTAGCTAAGGAGGTGGTGGAATTTCCTTCCTTAGAGGTTTTTAAGGTCAGACTTGACAAAGCCCTGGCTGGGATGATTTAGTTGGGGATGGTCCTGCTTTGATCAGGGGGTTGGACTAGATGACCTCCTGAGGTCCCTTCCAACCCTGATATTCTATGATTCTATGATAACAACTGTGATGAATATACAAATAGTTTCAATCTTCAGGCAATTCTTACAGGTATAGTTCCTGTAGGATAGTGGGGAAACTGTCTAATTGGGTGTCTGATTTGCAGGTATAGACTGATACATGTTTCTTAGGAAAATTAATCCCTGGTTTTAGTTGGCTGAATTATTTAAAAAAGAACAGGAGTACTTGTGGCACCTTAGAGACTAACAAATTTATTTGAGCATAAGCTTTCGTGGGCTACAGCCTACTTCATCGCGCTCAAATAAATTTGTTAGTCTCTAAGGTGCCACAAATACTCCTGTTCTTTTTTTTGCGGATACAGACTAACATGGCTGCTACTCTGAAACCTGAATTATTTAATTATATCTTCAGAAACTTTCTTCTCTAGGAGCTAAATTCACCTTGGGAGTTCTATTCAGTTACACTATTAACACTGACGACCTCTTTGTACCAGGAGTAAAATTAGCCCATGGTGTTTGTTTTGTTAATCCAATTCTTTGAAGTCTGTGCCTTCAAATCTCTGAATATTAACACATTTCCACATGGTGGTACTGGTAGGCAGTAACTATTCATTCCGTGCTGTCCATATAACTTGTCAAAATTGTAGGAATTGTGTGTTCATTAGGTTACATTCAACTATCTCAGAGAATTTGGAGGAAATGTTGGCTAGAAGAAGCCATGGCAGTCTTATTTTTAGCATATTGTGCTAAAAGTCCAGCTACCCAGTGATCCAGCTTACCCAGCAGTATTTAAAATCTAGGCAGAATGGCCCTATACTCATTCATACAGAGCGAAATCTCTTAATGGTGAAGTGCTATACATAGTGATAAAGAAAACTTTTGATTTTAATTCTATTAAATATAAAATCACCTTAACAAAATATTCAATAAGGGAAACAAAAAAAATGATAGTTTGAAATACAACTTTAATTTTAAAAAAATCAATATGCCATGCACAATGTTTTGTTACAAGATTATCAGCTTGATTTGTTTTGTACTTATACTGACAGAACAAAATGATATTTTGAATTAAGCATAATATTGATTCAAAGTTATTTATAAATGATCAGAATGATAGCTGAATATTACTAATGTCAATAATTAGTTAGAACTGTTGGTCAGCAAAGACAAATACAGTTAAAACAGATATATGGAAACTGGTACTGCAATTGAGTATTATGTCATGTCAAGTAGGCTTAACTAAAAGAAACACTTGAAAGCATACTTTTTTTCCCAAATGTTTGTCAGCTTTGTAGACTTAATGTTGCATAATCTAGAAATATGCAAAAAACAGCAGCTTGGCACTACAATTAATGGAATGCATTATCAAATTCCTCTCTAGAGAAGGGCAATAGAAATGGCAGCTAGAGCACCATCCACAATCATTACAGGGTTTCTACATGGATATCGAGTAACAATCAGTTTCCTCTCTTGTTCTCTTTCCTGGATGAACCACACAGGCATTGTAGGATATTTATTTACAAGCACCAAGAATTTTCTGCTGTGCATTTCTTTGTCCATAACTACTAATTTTTGTTTCTCCTTATTGCTAGAGACGCAGATCCAACTCCCATTTTGTCAAAGATTTCCATTGACTTCAATGGGAGTTTGACTGAGCCTATAACTACTGTATGTCAAGTGCTCATCACATATAGTAATGTTGTCAGCAGAAATCCAGTTTGTTACCCCCTGTCTGAGAAAACAGAACTCGTGTAATGTTAAAAAAAAATTATATAATACATAGGTTGGGAAAAGAGTGTCTGTACATCTGGGTATAGTGCTTAGATTATCCACAAATATAAAGTTTGTTTTTAAAGTCATAGAGTACATAATCAGCAACAACCCAAATTTAGGTGAATAGATTTAACAATACAATTTAGATATTAGAATCCGAATACTTGGGTACATCACTCATGAAAAGTTGTACAGAGATTTGGTTGTGGAAAGCAAAATATATCAATGAGTGGAGATTGTCACTCAGTAATTGAGAATTACGTTGGTTGTCCATTTAGAAAATACAATCCATGGGGAAAGTATTTGTTACTTTCCTGACTGCGCTTCTCATAGGCACTCTAGTTCATCCCTCCTTGTATTGCTGATGTCCAGTGATGTGTTCTATGTAGATGTCCCTCAACCACCTGATGGTGTCCGACACCATGAGTTGCCACATCAGCCAAGCGTAGCGTTGACTGATTCCACAGTCTCTCAGCACTCACTCATTACTGGGGTCCCACGCACCTAAGGCTCCGACAATCAGTGCATTTGTCTGGACCTGGTAACCCTTAGCTCTCAAGGTTTCAGCCAGAGGGGCATATTTCTCTACCTTTTGAGCTCGGGCATCGTGGAAGGCTGGGGTCCTGTTCTCGAACGGCACTGTGACTTCCACCATGATGGTCTTCGTTGGTGATGATGATGTCCAGTCACAGTTGGCTGTCGGTTCCAGGGATGGCGGAGTTTACAGTAACCTTCCCCATGGGTGGCGGGATGGCTCTGGCCAGGTGATCTTGGATGGCGTTGTGTCGCAGCTGAATTACACTAAGAAAATACCCTACTCTGCATCAGTGATTTCTGCTCCAAATGTAAAACTGACCTGCAAGATCTCAAAATTCTGCTTCCACTTGGCAAAGGAGCAACAGTAATTGCTCTTTGGTAATGTTAGTAAATGTTGACATTTTAAGTGACCAATGTAGTTGAATGAGTTTAAGTGCCCATTGCATTAGCTGGAGCCGAGCAAAAGGCAGACATGCTGTGCTAGCTTCCCCACACAATTCTGTCAACATAATCAGTGATGACTTGTGCTTTCAGTCCTGAGCTATGTTGAATAGACACTGATCATCATGTACGATTATACCAGTGGTCCTAGAGTGTATTCCCATCTGCCCCAAGCACTAAGTCAAACCACATATGAGTGCAGGTAACTTCAGTGGACATTTTTAAACAATTAAGCCTTAAAAAATCAGAACTTTGATCATAAAATAAAGCCAGACAAAAAAAATTCTGGTTAAAAAATACAAAATTCCTAAAGGATATAAATCCCTAAAGCCTGGTATATAAATATAACCATCAATTTTCCTCTGTAGCAAATTCCTTTATAGATGGCAATGTAAGGACAATTCTAACTTTCCCTATATGTTTGCATTCCCCTCTGCCTTACAGTTCAAGGCAGTGATGCCGTACAGGCTCTAGTTTCAAACCAACATCTGGAACTTGAGTCTTGAAAGACATCCAAAATAACAAAAAACAACGAGTAGTGATTAGCCACCTTTATAACTCATAAGGCTAGATTCTCAACTCATGTAAATTGGCAAAGCTGCATTGAACTTAATGGAGCTATGCTGATTTATGTCAGCTGAGGGTCAGGCCCTGTTCACTTTCCGAGGCACTGAAATAAATTAGCCTCACCTTGGCATGGGAATTTCAATCAAGATTGCCTGAGATTTTGCATTCAACAATCTTAGAGGAAACAGTGAGAGCAACATTTACAACCCCTGAAGGGAGAGAATTAGCAGTTTTATTCCTGAGGAAGTTCTCTCACTCTACATTATGTGGAAACTCTTATTGGGAAATAAGCGTATGCTTGTGCTGTTCACAAACATGGAGATTTACAAACTGCATATTTACAAACTGCACTCAAATATGCAATTGATCCTGCTGCACACTACCCAGGTCCTGGTTTGTGCCATAAGTATTTTGGATGTTTTTATTGTTAAATATCGATATGGCCAACAGATAATTTTTTTATAATAGTGATATTAGTTCTCAACATGGAGCATGAGACCATTCACAAGTAATAGATACTTTGCAGAGACATATATTACAGTCTGTACACTAAGGGCTCAGTCCTGCAAACCTATAACTGTACAATCAGTGCTTACTCACACCAGTAATCCCATACTGGGCTGCTCATTTGAATTAAGGCTAATTAAATGACTAACAATTTGCAGTATCAGACCCAGAAGCATTACAAAAATTGTGAAAAGTGGATTTTCAACTACTGTATTTATTATACATTAGATCATTGCACTTTTTCTTACAATAAAAAATACTTACTATGGAAATTAATACCCACTAACATTTTCCTTCATTGATTTCATATTTAAAGAACATGTAACCATGTATTACAGTGCCTTGTCTCCTTTTACTGCATTAGGCAGTTGCTAGCCTTATCTGGGTCTTCTCCATCAAGCCTGATCCACTTCTTTTCAATTTCAACCTGTGGTTAGAAAATATACATGTACAACATTAGCAAATGATTGGGTATTAGAAGTCTGATCGTGCACTACTGAAGTCAATGGGATTTTTGACATGGACTTCAGTGGGTGCAGAATCAAGCCCTACAGGTGGAGGCCTGAAATACAGGGCTTGAGATCCAATGAATTTCAAATCACCACACCCAAAATTTGTTTGGTGGGGAAAAGGGAAGTTGGTTTAGCAGGTCTGGTTTGGGCCCCATCTCTAAGAATCATGTGTTCAGATCAAGGATATTCTTTTATTAAATAATTACTGTGTTCAAAGCCATTAAGCCAATAAATAAATGCATGCAAGATCATATGCTTAAAATGCAAGTCACACACACTTAGGGCCTTACCAAATTCACCGTCCGTTTTGGTCAATTTCATGGCCAGAGGGTTTTAAAATGGGTCAGTTTCATATTTTTAGATGTTTACATCTGAAATTTCAGTTTTTTAATTGTGAGCGTCCCAAACTAAAATGGAGGCATGGAGCGGGTCACAAAGCTGTTGTAGGCTGGGCACGGGCTTGACACCCTCACTTCTATGCTGCCTTCAGAGCTGGGAAGCTGCAGAGCTTCCTGCAGCTGGAGGAGATAACCAGAGGTGGGTCTGATCTCCCCCCAAGAGTGGCCGTGCAGGGGAAGAGGAAGTCCTGTCTTTCCCCAGCCCGACAGACTGGCAGCTGGAGCCCGGTGAATGGTAGGAGCCCCTGGCAGGGGTGCCCACCCTGTCCTTCCCCTCCAAAAACTACATTTCATGGGGAAGGTCTGATTTCACAGTCCATGACATGTTTTTCATGGTGGTGAATTTGGTAGAGCCCTACACATACTTTGTAAATGGTGTATCAGAACAAAAAGACTGCAGAAAGCAAAGAAGTGAAGACTACCTGGCAGTTGTAGCAAGTTTTCTGGTTCAAATGTTTCTGGGGCTGAACATCACACTCTATGCCCAGCGATTTTACTTCAGTCCCCGAGGCACACGCATCAAGCATGTCAAACTGTACAGTTGCAAATGGATACCAGTCAGAAGGTATTTCCTGGTCTGATCCAAGTTCTAGTTTGTAAGACAGACTGTGTGGCTGATATGGGCCTTTGAAAGGAAAAATCACAGTTCATTATTTTCTCTCCATTTTTAGTACATGGTTAATTTGTTAACTGGGTATGGTAATGCTATCTTTTAGTAAACTGTAGTTGATACATAATGCAAGATTACTCTATCATCTGTCTAGCTATTTATAAAGTGCCTAATCACTTGGTATCTAGGCACAAGATTACATCCGTTATCATTTTCTGCCTATTTCAACATATTTCTATAGCAGTCATCATAGTTCTTTCAAATCAATTTTCACAAAAGTCACCAGATACATTGAAGGCTGGATTAATGGATGGACATCATAAACCTGTGTCTAGGGCCATGGCTCCTGGATTTAAGTGATTACATTAGAATCTCAGCTTTCATTTTTTAAAATAATTCAGTTTCTATCTCACATGGGTGTGAAGAAAAGCTTGAAAACATGACCCAAGTGTAACCATGCTGTGCTGTCTGCCAACAGTCTGAAACAATAGCCCTCCAATGGACGAATTACCCCATGTATCTCAATGGGGTATTAAACTCTGAGGCCTGGCCTACACTTAAAATTTAGATCAACATAGCTATGGCGCTCAGGGGTGTGAAAAATCCACACCCCTGAGCGCCATAGCTATGCCAACCTACTGCTCACTGTAGACGCAGCTAGGTCGAATGCTCCCAGTCAACCTAGATACTGTTGCTGGAGGACATGGAGTTCCTACAGTGGCAGAAAAACACTTTCCATTGCTGTAGTCTGCATCTATGCTAAGAGCGTACAGCAACATAGTTATGGCGCTGTCACTATGCTTCTGTAGGGTCTAACGTGTAGACATGACCTAAGACCCACTGCTCTGGGCAGCTTGCCAGCACTCCCATATCAGAATATAATGTGTGTGGCAGGAGAACAAGAGAGCAGTACAGAACGCCTCCTGTCCAAGCACGTACACCCCAACTGCTGAGATAAATGTGTGGGGACCTGCTGCTACCCTGGCATCTCCAAGATGTGGGGAGCTCTAAAAATCCAAAAGGCAGGGGGAATCCCATGCCACCATTCCTGACTCTTTACAATTGCATGGGGCCCCCAGCTGCTGCATAGTGAAGAGAGGGCCTGTGTTGCAGTATGCCCCAAATTGCCTTAATCTGGTCCTGGATCCTATAAATTCAGTTTTTTAAAATAACTTGGGAGAGGCAGGGGAGTTCATTTTTCCATCTGTTGGCACACAAGCACTTCAGGGTGAACAGCTAGATTTCCAAAGACACTGAAATCAGGAAGTTTGCTTTGTGAGGTCAAGCAAAATATTGGAATGAAAAGAATCTTCTACATCACAGCTTCCTGTGCAAAGTCTTCAGAGCAAAGTAAGTGGTCGTGCTGTCTTTTCTTCCTCCCCAATGCTTGTTAAAGCACGTGTAGTGTCAGTATAGAGAGGAACTGTGTACTATAACCACAGTTTGGCTTCAGGCAGGAAAGCAGTTACAAAAAGGACTGACCATACTTTGTGAATGGGACTGTAGGTTTAGATTTAATCCATTACAGTGAATGACATGTCAACCTGCAGCATAAAAGTGCCTATTCTTTATAAATTTACATTTCTCAGTGGCAACCACTAAACAGGGAGGATGAAACTAAATTTATATGAAGGTAAAGAAAAAGATTATATGCTTAGCATTATTTGTCATGTGGATGTCATCAACACATAGTGCACTACATTCACAACTTCATCAGCAATTCATAAGGCAAAAATGGACCTTTGAAAGAAAGTAGGCAAAGTAATTACCCACAGCATCAATGCATTGTGAGAGGGTAAACGAAAACTAATTTAGCTATAATAAAATACAAAATAAAAACCTAATAAAATACGAGGGGAAATAAAGTGACCTTTACTTTGTAAAAGTAACCACTGTCATCAGGAAACAGAGTTTCTCTCTTGTTAGTTTTGAATATCTATTACTTGTATTAATCAGTTCTTACAACCTTAGACTGTCATATGGAGTATAGATATACTTAAATGTAACATTTTTAAAGTATTTCAGAAATATTTCAGATATCTTGAAGTCTTATTCAAGACCTTGTTGTTAACCAACTCTTATCCCGAATCTTTTATTGAGACAAGATCATTATCTATATTTATGGCACTATAATTAAATCTTAGTCAGAACTTCCACTATGGGTCCATATTTTCAGAGTATTTAGTTTGGTGTGAACACAATCCAGTATGAAATGTGGCATATAAAATAGGATTTTCAAAAGCACTCGGCACTGGCCTAACTCTGCACTCACTGAAGTCAATGGTAAAAGTCCCAATGAATTGAAAAGTCCACCGATAATGTCTCTAGCAAGGAGAACATCTTAAAATAATTTTTAGAAAATAACACATATTTGACCAATTTTGATAGCTAACTAGCAGCTGGAGCCCAGTGAATGGTAGCCCCCGGCTGGGGCACTCCTAGCCCTGCCCTCCAATAGCTATATTTCATGGGGGAGGTCTGATTTCACATTCCATGACATGTTTTTCACAGCCATGAATTTGGTATGGCCCTACCTATCATAGTGGCCAATATTGATTCCTTGTTCTCTCATGTCAGTCTTTATTCATCTGTTGTCTCTTGTTTTATACTTTGATTGTAAGTTTCTTGGGGCAGGGTCATTTTTTGCTCTGTTTGTACAGCACCTATCACAGCAGGGTCCTGGTCCATGACTAGGGCACTTAGGTGGTACAGTAATACAAATAATTAACAATAATTTCTATCCCTCCCTCTTATGTCTCTTTCCATCTCCAGTACTTTCTCACAGCCTGACCTGGGCTGCTTTCTCATCACCCATAGCATTTGCTGATGTTGCAACTCCTTCCCTTTCCCCTTGCCAACTGCTCAATACTCTCTAGCCAGTTCCATCCCTCAGTTTCCTCGGGGTCTCTCACTGAAAGCAGGGAGGCTGCCTGGAGGCTGGAAAGGCAGAGAGGGGAGTATCTGTCACGAACCCCAGTTACTCTGGCAGACAGTCAAAAGCAGGGGAACTGAAAGGGGACGCCAGGAAGGAACCATAAACCATGAGCCACAGATCAAAGCCAAAAGTTAGGCACTTCTAGTAGAAAATTGCTTCTCAACCCTGTATACCTTACTAGAATCTTCTATGTGGTAGGTACAAGCAACATTTTGGGCCAACTGTAAAAATTAATGTTAATATAGTACTTTACTGCACTTGTACTTTTCTCATCCATACACTGATAGACCATTCTAAGCTGGTGAATAGATTAATCACACCAAGCAGTTGCTGTCTATCTGCAGAGTCTTTTCCTCAAGAGTGTTTATAAAACAAAAGAAAAACAAGTTAAATTGAAAAACTGCTCAGGAGATATTCAGTCCAGTCCTGTGACCTTTGGGCATGAAGCCCAGCCTTCTCAAAAGCACCATGTGTCATGTCTTTCTAGCCAGACACTCTTATAGCCTTTCCCTACTCAAAGGGAGTGGTGAGCTGGGCTGGAACAAACCTGATAGCATCCCTGTACCTGAGTTTGTGGGTCAGTCTTTCTACAGTGGGTATCAGTGCCCTGTAATGGATGAAATGCCAGAGCTACTCAAGTGTGTGAGATCTCACCCTTTAGTGACTGCAGTCTATAAAGGATAATGCCTCTAATTCTACCAAATGTGCAAGAGTATTTAATGCAATGTCATTAGTTAATATACTTTTAAAAACAATATACTAATCTGATTCTTATCTGCTGGTAACACTGTGATACCACACGTTCTCACAGTGACTTTACAGCCATAGGACCAAATCCTGTGCACCTTATCCATGCAAGGAATCACGTTGTCTTCAATAAGATATAGCATATTAATTATAGTAACCAGAATTTTGTCCACATTTAACATTTTTTCACTTCGGGGGGGAGTGGGTATGGGAGGGCATATTTACTAGAAATCTATTTGTACATTGTTTTCCTACTGTCATCAGCACCTTTATTAAGAAATGGAACACATTTGCATTCATTCTATTCTACTCCATTTTCAATGGGTAGCACTTTGGAAGAAAAGAGCTATCCTAAACAGAAAAAGTACATTTAGAGATGATATTTCAAACAGTAGGCAGATGCATATGTAGTCCACATACAGGCTGAGGCAATTTAAATTTAACATTTCCCTTCTTTTTTTGTCTGTTCTATATTTCCATTGCAAGAGTCCCTGTCTCTCCCTCACACACACAATATCAAACTGGGAAAATTTAACATCCTAATTATTTTAAACCATGGGCACGCTTATAAAGGGCTACAGCTATAGGATATAAAAGGTAAAAATGAGAAAGAACTATTTTAAAATTTTTATTTGCTTTTTTAAAAAACAGTTTAGAATTTAAACTTTTGAGTGATGGAGGGTCTAACAGGGAAGATTGTTGATTGGAGGTGGTGACTTTGTACTAAAGAATAAATGAAAGCTGCACTTAAGTACATAACAACATAAGAATGGCCATACTGGGTCAGACCAAAGTTCCATCCAGCCCAGTATCCTGTCTACCGACAGTGGCCAATGCCAGGTGCCCCAGAGGGAGTGAACCTAACAGGTAATGATCAAGTGATCTCTCTCCTGCCATCCATCTCCATCCTCTGACAAACAGGTTAGGGACACCATTCCTTACCCATCCTGGCTAATAGCCATTGATGGACTTAACCTCCATGAATTTATCTAGTTCTCTTTTAAACCCTGTTATAGTCCTCGCCTTCACAACCTCCTCAGGCAAGGAGTTCCACAGGTTGACTGTGCGCTGTGTGAAGAAGAACTTCCTTTTATTTGTTTTAAACCTGCTGCCCATTAATTTCATTTGGTGGCTCCTAGGTCTTATATTATGGGAACAAGTAAATAACTTTTCATTATTCACTTTCTCCACACCACTAATGATTTTATATACCTCTATCATATCCCCCCCTTAGTATCCTCTTTTCTAAGCTGAAAAGTCCTAGCCTCTTTAATCTCTCCTCATATGGGACCCGTTCCAAACCCCTAATAATTTTAGTTGCCATTTTCTGAAC